GATGAACACATGTTTCACCACTTATGGAGTTGTGCTTTTATCGTTTCGTTTTGTGATCTCTTGTACGAATCCATTGTGTAAATTTATGGTTATCAATCATCTGTTGCTCTTTATTTGTGTTTAACTATTTTTCTAACTGTACTGTCGAGATTCTACACCTAATTTTCTTCAAAATTGTGTATTTAATTAGTTTTCTTTAGGGTGATTCTCTGTGTGTAGGTACTTTCATATTTGCTACTGCATCATGAGTCTATAGAGAAAAATTGAGATTGTGTTAGGTGTTCTGTAAACGGTTTCTGCCAAAAAAAACTTACAATTGTCGAAGAGGTTATTGGCTGATGACGCTGTTATGTCGTTCTGCGGACGTTTGATGGGTAAAAAAATAACACAATCTCTCTTTTTCTCTCTACTTGTGCATGAATGGATACTCACTCAATCATATCACAGTAGAAGTCTTGTTGCATATAGGCATAGTGATTAAGTAAGAGGTTTATTCAGCCATTATTTAGTAGAAACCTTGAACGAAGCTGAACAAAAACTAACGTACAACACAAAACTTATAACGAAGTAGAAATGTTTACACAAAGCTACAAGTATAGGAAAATAAAAAGGTTATGATTACGAAGAATATGCAAAAGAAGTTGATTACTGTAACGCCCGTGAACCAAAAAGGAGATTTTTTGGGCATGTGTGTCGATCGACACAGAGTAAAATCAGACCGACGGTTTCGGTTTCTGATTTGCCGGTTTGGAGAGCAGTTTAGGGGACACTCTAGGGTTTGTATAAAAGGGCTGGAACAGACGCGTGTTAGTTTCATTTTGGCCGAAAATCAGAGAAAGAGGAGGATTTGAGAGAGAATCAAGAGAGGTTGTGAGTTGTGTGTGATTGAGGGTGAAGGACAGCTTCTGTTCGAGTGTTTAAGAGGGCAAACGGCTGGGCAATTCGAGGAGAATTGGGGTGAAACTTTGAAGGTAAGTTCTCCGATCTCTGGTCTCGATATGGGCGAAATCCGTTCGTCATTTCGTTGAGTATGCGTTGAGTTATGTCTGTTTGAACTCGATAGGGTTGTGAAGACTTGTTGCTGCGATTAGTCGGCTTCGGGAAGGTTTTCCGATCGAACCAGAACGACTTAGGAGACGATCAGCCTATGTGTAGAAATCTCTCTCTGTCTAGTTTCTAAATCAGGTTTTTGATCCTGATTCTGAGGTATTATCCGTTCTCGGT